GTAACTAGAAATTTTTAAGAAAATCAGATTCTAATGCTCTCTTGAATAGATTTTATTAAATTACTCTGGGTTTTTGTTGCTTTTATTTAGTAAAAAAAATAAACTTCTTTTGAACATTTAACAAAATAGATACAAGAATATATTTTCCCAAAATCTTAATCTGATCTTAAAATAATTTATTCTGATGATTGCTTGTTATTATTATAGTTATCATAAAGATTAAAAATTAGCAGAAGTTTAGAGAAAAAAATAAAAATATCAAATTTATAGATGAGAAAACTGTTCTTTACATCTAATGTAATTTAGAATAATTCATCTTATCTAAATTTAATTGTCCTAATTTAGTCATCATTCTATGTAAAAAAAAATTACAGGAGATTTAAATTTCTACAAATAGTTTGAAATTTGCATACTTATATTTATAATCAGAGATTCAAACTCTATTTATATTTTCAATTGCACTGAAAGCATAGAAACATATCTAAGTTAACAAATTACATCATTCACTCCAGAAATATAAGAAAAACTGTGACTCATTCCAGTGCTGTTTTTTAAACTTTAATCAGATTAGTGATTCTCATTTCACTTTAGTTCTATCTACAAATAAGCATCAAAATTATTATAAAGAAAATTAATTTTAAGCTTGACTTTATAGGAGTACTGTTGATCTGAGTGAAACTGGCGAAAACTAAAATAGATACAACCACTTGCAGGCCTTGATCCTAAGGGTGATAAAAAAAAAATTAAGAAATATCTATTTATGCCAAAACTGGTTTGGCTCAGTGGATAGAGTGTCGGCCTGCGGACTGAAAGATCCTAGGATCGATTCCCGTCAAGGGCATGTTTGTGGGCACATTCCCAGTAGGAGGTGTGCAAGAGGCAGCTGATCAATGATTCTCTCTCATAGGTATTTCTAACTTTCTACCCCTCTCTCTTCCTCTCTGTAAAAAAAAAAAAAAAAAAAAAAAAAAAAATCAATAAAATATATTTTTTTCAAAAAGAAAAGACATATCTATTCAAAACAGCATTAACCATCTGTTAAGAAAGAAATGATTCTGTGGTATTTGAACCAAGAGCCCTGACACCCTCTTCCAAACACTCCAGACTGCTGCAGCCAAGAACACAGAGGTCCCTCTATCCCTGGCACCCAGATGGAGGACTTCCTTTCACAGAGAAGCAGAATATTAGTATTCCTCATCTTCCCCAGCTATCTGTTACTGCAGCTAAGTCCCAAGGGAGTGCAGTTGTAACCACAGACACTTTATTTCTTTACTATGACCTTCTCTCCTTTCTTTCCTTTTGATTCAAACTGGCCTCATCCAGCACCCTCACTGACCTGCCCCCCTTGCTTGACCACTTCCTTAATCATCAAGCCCTAAGGACAGTGAGGTTCTGATCAGCACCAAATAATCTTAAGAACAAAGCCTTGGGTCTGTGGACCACAGACAGAGCTTCTATCAAACTAAAGAGAACACGTAATCCTCAGTTGTGTTTCAGCTGCAGCCCCAGAAAAGTGCTGAACACAGATGAAGAATAAATGGCACTGATAACCATCTGCTACCCTAGCACCAGCCATAACCAGGTCCTCTTGAGTTTCAGTTATATCCTGCTCCTTTGTTTCCGTGTGTGTGTGTGTGTGTGTGTGTGTGTGTGTGTGTGTGTCCACGCATGTGCGTGCACAAGCAGAGGGCCAGGTATAGAACACTACACTTTGGTTCAAGCCCTAAGGACAATGAGGTTCTGATCAGCACCAAATAATCTTAAGAACAAAGCCTTGGGTCTGTGGACCACAGACAGAGCTTCTATCAAACTAAAGAGAACACGTAGTCCTCAGTTGTGTTTCAGCTGCAGCCCCAGAAAAGTGCTGAACACAGATGAAGAATAAATGGCACTGATCAACCATCTGCTACCCTAGCACCAGTGGACAGTCGCCATGATTAATAATTGTCCCACATATAGCCATGCCCTGAAAGCCATCACAGAGCCATGTGTTTGAGCATTAGATCACCTGTTTCCAGGAATAGACCACTTCCTAAAAGTAAACCCTTACTTTCTTCCTTGCAAGCTCCTGTTCATGTCTTATTGAATTTTGATGTCTGTAGGCAAACAGACTTTTTTGTCTGGTCACACAGTTGCAAAGTGGGACACTTTTGGAACAGAAGTTCTACTTTGTGTGTGGACCTGCTGAGAATCTTGGAGCCCTCATCACCCTGGTGTTAAGTCAAGAGAGGTCTTAGGGCTCTGCTTGCCCACAGAGAAGTTTCCCATTCTCCCCATTTCTAGCTACTGAGATCTAGCTCAAGACCACCCTTGAACGGAGAAACAGAGCAAAAAGCATAAAAACTCCTAATCTCTTCCCAAAGAAACTGACTTTGTTTGAAACAGAGAGTGAAGTTAAAGCCTAAAGACACTCTTAAGAATAATGGCAGTGATTTATCGTGAAAAGCAATTGGTGGGAGATTCAAGAAACAGGCTAAACTGTAGGTGGGCCAGGTTTCAGAATGTATTTCAGGAAATAAGACGGATGGGAAGAACCCTCCTTTTGGGGTCAGAACAAAAATCAAGCACTGACCTCAAAAACTACCTCTTAAAAACAAACAAACACAACAGCCTAGATTTTGATTGGATTACTATGTGGAGCAATTTATGCCCCAGGGCATTGTTGAAAACAATATAGCAATCAGCTGGCAACTAGTAGAGTTTAAAATCTAAGAATAGCCAGCAAAAAAAGACAGATTTTTCCCAATGCAGCTTTCTTTCCATGATGACTGTTGGCATACCCATCCCTACACCAGTGGCTGGACATTCTGTGTGCTGGGAACTGGAGGTAGGGGGATGGGATAGATTTCACCAAAATAACTTAGTGAGTCACTAACAAATAGAAAGTGCCTATAAGAAAGTCCAGATGTGTCAGATTTATAAGCAAAAGACTTGAAAGCAATAATTAAGAACACTAACATATACATATGCATGTAGTGGGACCATTGGAAGGAGAGGCCAGAGGAGGGAGGGGGTTGGGAGGAACCTGGAAGAAATCATGACTGAAAAATCCCCAGATCTGATGAAAATTATAACATACACATCTAGGAAGCTCAACAAATTCCACAGAGGATAAATATAATGGGACCTACTGATAAATATATCATAGGAAAAACCTGAAAGTTAGACAAGAATAAAATCTTGAAAAAGTTTACAAATAATTTATTCACAAAATTCTCCTCGTCTTCAAAAGATCACAGGGCTAACAGCCAAAAGTTCAAATTCAATTCTACACCTCATAATAGCTAGATGAGTTTTATCAATTACCATCTTTGAATTCCAATTTCCTCACCTACAAAGCAATTAATATTTCTAACAAATAAAATCGTCCTTAGACTCATATGTAACAATTTTTGAAAAATTGTGGAATCTTAAAAAAAAAAAAGCAAGGAGAACAGAAACAGACTCATAGAAACAGAATATTTTCACAAATATAAAACCTCTCTTTTTGCATTTGTGCAATGCGTCTTCTTCTCAAAGATTGGTGTAACAATTTGTCAACAGACCTATAGACACTATATTTTCTTAAAAGTCATAGGCAACAATATAACTAATTTGGGCCTTATAAAAAGAACACAAAATAGTTCCCCTCTATTTTTCCTGTAATCTTTTTATCCATAATAATGTTTAATACATCAGAGATATGACCATAGATATTGTCCAGCCATTTATAGTTAAATTCATCTAATCTTTCAACAGTTCGGAGGAATGCATACCATGGGTCCAGCAAAGGAAATACATATCCTTCCAGTAATCTAAAGAATCCTCTACTTGAGCTTGAGCAGTGGGGGATTCAAGTAAATGGAGCACAAGTCTTTCTGCGCTTTAATGATTTAATAAAACAACTATTGAAGAAAAATGTAAAAACAATTATGTCAGCACAGAAAAAGAGGAAATTGAATCTGCCTGTTTAAAAAGAGAAAAACTTTACAAACTATGGTCTTTAACTGTATGCTGAATAACGATCAAATGTTGACCAGATTACAAAAGTAGTGACAGAAGATTACAATGGCAGAGAGAACAGCATATGCAAAAGAAGAGTTACAAAAGTGTATGGCACTTCCTTGCCCTGATTCTTCACCTCTTCTTCATGGACACACTGGCTATGGCCTCATCTTAGGCAGCACATACCCTACATACCTTGGCTATGGATCTGACCATTGGACTTGCTCTGACTAATAAAATATGGGATGAAACCATAGTGCTTAGGACTCAAGAGGCATTATATATATATATATATATATATATATATATATATATATAGAGAGAGAGAGAGAGAGAGAGAGAGAGAGAGAGATATTGGCATGAGCGATGTAACAGCTTTTATTATTGCAACAATACTGATATATATGTCCCATTCCAGGTCAGGGCTACCCCCACCCCACGGTACTCACCACTGTGGAACTTGTGTATGTGTGTGCGTGTGCGTGGGGAGGTGGGGGGGGGGAGCAGAATCCCTAAGCAGAGCTGAAGGGAGGCAAATGGGACTGGTGAGTGTTGGGGTCACTGGGGACCAAGGGTTCAATAGGATCAGGATACCTGACTTCTACCCAGAGGGGGCCTGAGAATACTTTGGTCCTGGGGTCAAGATTTGGCAGTGCCTTGTTCTGGGTTCAAACCTGGGGTGTGGTCTGGAAAAGCCTTGATCTAAGACTCAGGATTTGAGAATGTCTCAGTCCCACACCCCAGCTTTGGGACTGAGCATGGGAGACAAGTGGGTCCCTGGTTAGGTTTGTGGGAGTCTCTCCATCCAGAAGTTGATATTGACCATGGATACTCGGATCTCTAAGCCCCACTTCAGGGCTGGATGTGAGTGGCTAAGTTCCAAGTTCCCTAGGCAACGGGGACTGGGTGTGAGGGATATCCGCTTTGGATCTAGGTAGGGCGGGGGGGAAGCATTATAGACGCCCTGCTTTTTTACCTGGGCAAGTGGCTCCTAGCTTAAGGACTGCGAAAAGGCTCTAAATCCCAGTTATGGGTTGGGGTTGGGGTCCTCCAGGCCTTGGGTACCGATCCCAAGGCCCTAGGATCCATCCAGCCTCCTGCTCTTGTCCCAGCGCCTCCATAGCAGCCCCATTGGTGTCCGCTTGAGGCCAATGCTCTCGATCTCCTTCTCTATCTTGTTCTTGAGGTTGTGCAGGCGCAGTGAGGCGTGCACCAGGATCAGGAGGACTGGCCGGGCGATGCTGAGCAGGAAGGTGCCCGCGCCGCCCACCGCCCTGAGGACCAGGAGGCGGATGGCGAGCAAGGCGGCCAGGCAGGCGGCGGGGTGGCTGTGGCGGCAGGGCGCGGCTCTCAGCCGCCCACACCAGCACCCCGAGGGCCACCGCCACCACCAGCGCGCTTAGGAGGGTGTGCAGCGGCCGCAGGTACGCAGAGCGGCGGTTGAGGCGGGTATCCTTGAGGGCAAAGATGTGGACCGTGCCCTTATCACTGGAAGCACACAGGAAGGAAGAGTCCTGGCTGAAGTTGATGCAGTCGTAGGGGAGTCGAACTCAATCAGAGAAGGGGCCAAAATCTAAAATCCAGCCTAAATCGCGGGCCGAATGGTTTACTGAACAGTCATAAACTGTCATTGTGATGGAAACGCAGCGGAGTGCAGTGATGACAGCGCGGTGCGGGCCACATTGCAAGGCCTGGCGGGACGGATTTGGCCCGCGGGCCTTGTGTTTGACACATGTGCGAGTAGAGGGTGGCAGGGTCGGTGCCTCGGCGGAGTTCCACCAGCTGTTCCTTGGACTGTGGGACAAAAAGGCGAATAAGGGTGCCCTTCTGGGAGGCCGAGGCCACCCCGGTGCCCGGCTGGTTCAGGGACACAAACGCCAGGTCGCTCTGATGGGTGTTGATGGTAAATGGCGCAGACGAAGTGCCTGGCTTTGCGCTCGCCAGGTCCACGAGCTGCAGACTCCCGCGCTTGTGTCCTGGGAACACGAGCAGCTGTTTCTCCAGGCTGGGGCAGAGGTCACAGATACCCTTTGGGTTGTCCCCGGTGTTGAACTCAAACAGCTTTTGGGGACTGCCAGGGAAGGAGTACACGTAGATGCGGTTCCTCAGCATAACCACAATTTTGTCATGGCGCATGCGCACAGCCAGCACTGCCTTGGTGAAGGTGAACTCCAGCACCAGCTTATCCGCGGAGTCCTTGCCCTCCCGGGCATCATCCCAGATCAGCACCGAGATCTCAGAGAACTTGGGACTGCTACCACCGCCCACCAGGGCCAGCAGGTTGGAGCGGTACAGCATTTCCACCAGGCCCATGCTGCCCACCTGCTCATGGTCCAGGTGTCCCTTCTCCATCAATGGCTCCACGTTGTAGATGCGTACACCGGTCTCCATGGCACAGCAAAAGCAGCCTGACCTCCGCTCCTGCCTCCTGATCCTAGGCCCAGGTATGAGTCCCGCGGCACAGGTTTCTGACCTCGCATCGTATATATTTTAACCTATCATATGCTTTAGTGGAGGGGAAACAAACTTCCTTCGACCATTAAGATTCTTCTGGCTGGTCTAATAATGAAACAGACATGAGGCAGATTAGCAAGAGAAAATAATAAGATTTAATACATACATAAGTATGGGGACACCACCCACACAAGACAGTCAGAGACCCCACATGCACGAGAGATTCAGAGCTAGGAGGGAGCTAGGAGGGAGCATCAGTCTATGAGATATCTGGAGCTAGGGATAAGGTAGTGAACCTTGGGAGCTTCCAACAGTCATTGCGGGATAATAAGCAGAAGAGACATCTAGTAAATAGAAGTGTGCCCTGCCCTGTAATCAAAATAAGTTATTTCTGATAACCTCTTATTCTAAGTGATTCAAGTTCTTCTAGGCAAAGGGAAATTTCTCTTCAGCCTGAAGCTAAAGTCGACTTTAATGCAAAGCATATGAGAAGATACTCAACATAATTTTTCATTAGGGAAATTAAAATCACAGTGGCATGCCACTCTAAACCCATTAGAATGGCTAAAACCCCAAAACACGTAAAAACAATTGCTGATGAGAACTGGAAGCAACAGAATGTGTCATTCATTGCTGGTGAAACACAAGTGGTCCTCAGCCACTGCAGACAGTTTGGCATAAACCAAGGCATAATCTTATCAGATGATCCCACAATTACACTCCCAGGTAATTACATAACTGATTGAAAACTTAGGCACACAATTAAACCTGCATGTGAATGCACCTTCACTTACAGTCACCATAGTCTCTAAGCCATCAGATGTCCTTTCAAAGGGCCAACTGATAAAACAACTTTGGTATATTCATACAGCAGACTACTATTCATCAGTAGAAAGCAATTCCTACAACATCATTAATGATTCTTAATTTCACATTGCTACAGGAAAGATACCAGTCTTAAAAGGCTACATACTGTTTGATTCCATTTATATGACATTCTGGAAAAAATTATGGAGAGGATAAAATGATCACGGTGAGGGGTATGAGGTGATAGAAAGGGTATTTCTTACTTTGGTGGAAGTATTCTGTATGATACTGTAATTGTGTATACATGACATTATCCATTTGTCAGAACCCACAGGATTTCATAGCACAAAGAATAAACCAAGTATTTTCTTTTAAATCCTTTAGGAGGTTGGTAAATCCCAGGAAACTACAGGAACTCATCTCATGCTTCATTTTAGTCAATATCCCTAAATCCCTTAGAATAAAATCTGTTTTTCTATCTTTGTCATTTTCCTTCTGTCTGAAGGACTTCCCTTAACTTTTCCTGAAGGGCAGATCTGATCATGATGAATTATTTCAGTTTTTGTAGTCTGGTTGAGACCATTCATTTTCCTAGATATGCCCAAGTGGAGAAGGAGTGAATTAGAGGACTACAATGAACCCTTTCTGAGGCAGATATAGGTTTGGTATATAAAATACAATCTCATAGAGAATAATTTAACAATAATGTTGCCAGTTTGACCATATGTTGTAAATTTAAACACATACCTCATAATCCCTAAATTTCTCTCTTTAAACACATGCACACAAGGAGATATGCACAAGAATATTAGATCTGCATTTTTTCTAAATAGCAAACTTTATATAAATAAATAAATAAGTAAAAGGCTTAATAAAAATTACTGTTTATCAAGAGTAATAGAGTTAAATACATTTTGACATATATAGACAATTTAATACTATATCATAGAAAAAGCAAATTGGAGTTATATGTATTAACATGAATACATTTCACATATAATGCTAACAGCAGGTTGAAGAAAAATTCACTTATTAAATCTTATTTATATAAATCTATGCAATTTTACAGATTTCTTAGGGATTCAAACATATACAGGTAAGTACAAAGAGATCCACATAAATTACAAACACCAAATCTGTGATCTTAGCATTCTGTAGGTAGGACAAAAGGAGCTGCATTAAGGAAGAATATCAAGGAGCTAAAACAGGTTTAAAAACTGCATTATTAAGAAAAAGAATGATCATCTTTTCTGGATTACAAATAATATATAATTTAAAAAGTGATTACCATGCATTTAATATAAACTAAAAGAATAAAAACTTTTCTATGAGGAGGCACAATTGTCAAAAAGCAGATAGTTGCTATCAAATTATAAATTGTGCGGAAAACAAAACCCTATCACTGTGTAGTTTAAAATAATAAAGGAGTTTATAATCCAAAGACGACAGGAGAATGGGGTAATTCACAAAAGTAAAGAGAAGAATAATATTTTATAAATAAAATACAAATTATTACAGTTTCAAATTGAGGGCTATTTTTATCTAACTGGATAGATTAAGATAATCAGATGTGACAGCAAAAGGCTGCTTTGAACATTGCTGTATACATTACTGACCAAATAATATAGATACTATGAAAAAATTAAAATAAACTGAATAGAATGTAAATCTAGTACCCACTTGGCACCATACATCATTAATACAATATTATTGAGTATATTCCCTAACTGTTCTTTACATCCCCATACAAAATGACAATTATACACTCTTCTCCATCTACTATGCAGAATCAATCATTCTCAACTAATTATTTTTTGTTGTTAATCCTCACCTGAGTATATTTTTCTATTGATTTTTTAGAGATTGGAAGAGAGGGGTAGCGACAGAGAGATAAACATCTATCCATGTGAGAGAGACACATTGACTGGCTTTCTCCTGCATGCACCTGGGCCACAACCAAGGATTAAGTTTACAAACAAGGTTTGTGCCTTTGATCAGAATCCAACCTGGGACCCTTCAGTCCACAGGCCGACACTCTTATCCACTGAGACAAACTGGCTAGGGCTCAACTAATTTTTGCAAAGAAATCATTACTAAATTTTAATTTAAGCAAGTTCTCTTTATATTTTATTTAAAAGAGATCTTAACTAATCAATTGAACTGACAACTGAAGTTGTGATACTGGTGTCTAGAGTGGGCAGACCAAGGAACCAAATTAGTGTTGATGCTTTAAACATCATTTTTTCAAATAGAACTGAGTGCTACTCCAGCTGCTAATAATTATTCATATTTTTAAAAGGTTTTTGGTCACATACATTTATGAAACTTGGGTTAAATAAATTTAGATAGGATTCATGTCCATATGAATTCTCAAAGTCTTTTATATTCTAATGTGCCTTATAAATTTTTGGTATAAGGTGCATTAGCAAAAGTATCTATGTTTTCCAAACTTATTTGATAATGGAAACATTATTTTTATTAACATCTGAATTTTAGCTTAACAAAGCTTACTTCTAACTGGGTACAGATATGCATAAACATGCCGAAATTTCAAAAAATTAAGAAGTTATAAATAGACCATTATAGCCATTTTGATATTAATGTAAAATGTATTTCAGCTTTCACTAAATCTAAAAACAATAGCTTTCACTCAGTCTTTTTTCAAAAGAAATGAAACATTCTCTCTTTCAACCAACTAAATATTTCCATTATTTCTCTGGCCTAAACTTAGCTTGAACTTATAGAGAAATAGGATATGAAGAACTTTCAACCAACTAGAACTGTGGTTGGCAAACTGTGGCTCGCGAGCCACATGTGGCTCTTTGTCCCCTTGAGTGTGGCACTTCCACAAAATACCACAGCCTGGGCAAGTCTATTTTGAAGCAGTGGAGTTAGAAGAAGTTTAAGTTTAAAAAATTTGGCTCTCAAAGGAAATATCAATCATACTATTGATATTTGGCACTGTTTACTAATGAGTTTGCCTACCACTGAACTAGAACAATGGAATAGACCACACTAAAAAAGAGTTCTTTGTCCCTGAACCTATTTTTAAAACCAGCAGTTAAATGTTTCTTTCTAAGATATAGAAAGAACTAGATGCCCCTTGCAGGAAGATCCCTGCCCTGCCTGCTTTCCTCCCTTCTCCACTGGCCCGCCTGCTTCTCTTCCTTCTCCCCCGCCCCGCTTGCTTGCTTCTCCGCAGTCTTTGGCTTCTTTCTATGCACCTTCAGTCTTTGCTCTGGCCTGAATATGCAAATTAACTTTCATCTTGGTTGGGTTAATTTGCATACTCACCCTGATTGGCTTGTGGGCGGGGCTTGTGGGCTTAGTGAAGGTGCAGTCAATTTGCATGTTTCTCTTTTATTAGGTAGGATATTCTTGCATTAGGCAACCCCTAAAGTACATTCAATCTTTAGCTGTCTATAGGTGACAAAAGGTCATAAACAAATTGGATATCCACTTTCTTAATAGGTGTCTAAGTCAGGAAATGATAGGAAGCCATCAAATCAGATGATTATTAAATCTTTTATCAGCTTGAAAGTTTCTACAAAAATGTACTTCAGTTTTTGCACTATAGTAATAACATAAAACTTGCATAGCTATAGGCTTTATGTTGCTTTCAGTGTATTCAAATCCTAGACATAGCTGTTTTACTGTCATATAGAAGGATATGAAATATGACTAGATCATTCATTCAGCGGTTGCATAAATATAAGAAATGCTCAGGTTTTCATAATAGATTCAGAAGGCTTTTATATAATCTTTGAGAACTGTGTTTAAATTTCTAGAAAGATAATTGACTACCTCTATCATAGCAACATATCTCATTTAGATGAACTGAGCTATAGTGTATAGTATTGTTTAAAATTACCCTGGAGTGAAAGAGCTCTTGCAATGAAACAATGCTATTAGTTTTGAAAACTAACTTTAAATGTTGGTATAGTCATGTAGATAAATGAAGCAAGAAAAAAACAAAGTAATGAAAATAGTAGAAAAGGGAATATCTAATGATTTATGATATGTAATGAATTTTAGCATTATGAATAGAATTATGAATGAAATAGAAAATAACAACAGAATTCTTTGATATTCTTTCACTTATAAGATTTTTAAAATGTAAATCTGTTACCTAGAGACAAGCTCTTGCGTTAATATATTCTTAGTTAAAAGAGGAAGACTTACTAACATGTCTATACACGCTTTTATAGCAGTAAGTCATTAAAAAGATTCAGTATAATTATATCTGTCATTCAGTTTTAACCGTCATCATGTCTACTCTCTAGAGATGATTACAGAAATGACTTTCTTTTTTTCTTATATCTAACTAGAGGGTAGAGTCCCTAGGTTAGGGTCCCTAAACCTGGCTGGTAATCAGGGCCAATCTGTGGAGCGACCCGCAGGGTGATGGAGTGGGGGAGGGGGACACCCACTGGCACACACCTTGGCTGGCCTGGGGCCTGCAGACTGGGGGAAGCTTCTGTGTTGAGCGTCTGCTCCCTGGTGGTCAGTGTGTGTCATAGCAACCAGTTGTTCCACTTGTGGTTTCACCATTCAGTCGATTTGCATAGTAGGCTTTTATTATATAGGATTAGTCTGAGTGAGTGCAGTGGCCCAAGAATTGCTAGACTATCCTGGTCTTTCTTTCTGTAGAATGTAAAAATAAATTGTGGATAAAAGAAACAAAGTAATGTAGATAAAGGGGAAGTGGAGAAAACAAGATACAAAGCCACAAACATATAGAGATTGAGAAGGAAAAAAAAAATCAAATGCAGTAAGCACCTGTTCTGGTGGAAAGAACTATAGGCTTAGGGTCAGGAAACCAGCCCTGGGTAATCCGTTCATGTTAATCTCTTTAAGACTCACTTTTAATAATTTTAAAATTAGAGTGAGAGGAATTATATAAATAAACTTTAAAGTAATTTCCTTTTTAAAATTCTAGATTCTGTGTTCCAATAATGGTGGTCTTTGAGTGTGAGTGTGTGTGTGTCCATGTGTTTTCTCTTCTTAGAATATTCTGAGAACTTAACATTCTTAGGGTATTAAGGACGCTGCACTTAATTCCAATGTCTAGAGGTTTTGGATGCTCAGGTTTTCATAATAGATTTCAGACACCAATTGAGTATCCTACAAATCAACTCAAATCCAGATCCTACATGGAGGTAACATCAAAACCCACACGTTAAGGGTTTTATCCTCCAGGACAGTTCCCATCACCTTACTACACACACACACACACACACACACACACACACACATTTCAGATGCTGAGGTTAACACCTGTGCTTGTTACCTACCAACTATAGATTGAAGGTTCAATTAATTTGCTAGAGCAGCTTCCAGAACTCAGAGAAACATTTCACTTGCTGGATTACCAGTTTATCAAAAGAACAGCTAGATGTAAAATATATGCTAAGTATGGAAAAGGGGCTCAGAGCTCTCACGATCTCTCCTAGGAAGCCACTCTCCTAGCACTTGCTTATGTTCACCAACTGGAAGCTCTCCACACCTTCTCGTTTTGGGTTTTTATGGAGGCTTCATTACATTGTCATGGCTAATTATGTTATTGGCCTTTGGTGGTAGATTCCACCTCCAGTGCCTCTTTCCTTCCTGAAAATCAGGGAGTGGAAACTAAAAGTCCCAACACTATAATCACATGGGTTGATTCGCTGGCAACAAGCCCAGTTGTTAGGTGAAATCCAAATGACATCTTTGTCATTCCATCACTTAGAAAATTCCAAGGGGATATGATATA